AATGAAGAATAACTCAATTTAAACTTGTGTTAAGAAAAGGTCAAATATGATTTAAGCATGTAGATGTAATTTAAATGAACAAAAATATATACTGTCCCTTTAATACCTTAATGATTGTGAAATAGCACAGTTTATTAGACTGTTTACTGCAACAGCTCCTGACACATTGTCCTCATGTCCTGTAAAACTGAAACACTATTCCAGATTAGTATGAACCCTTTACGTGCCAAAGTTTTAGAATTCCTACATCCCTATGAATCCAGGACACTTTCAGTCCAAACACCAATATGTTTTTGTTATATATTTTTTCGTTGATATATTTCTGATATTTATTATTGTTGACCACTATTCCACTTCACTTTTTTACATGCCATTTCTGAAAAACACCTAAAGGGTTAATACTTGAATCATGTGTGTTCTATACATGCACCAGACACCATGCCCAGAAAAAACAATAACAATGAAGATAATATTAAGATCTGGTTTTGAATTCATTTTATTGTCCAGTTGATTTGGTTTGAAGCAACAAACAAACAAAAGAATCCACTATGGCTTATGAACAAAGCTTTATCAACACAATTTTTCAGCTATTCTTAGATGAAATTAATATATTGAAAAATAATAATACTCAGTTGGAAAATGTACACACAAATGCACTATAAAACTATAGTAACATGCATTAAACACATTCATTTCACAAAAGCATAAAGTATGACTGTAATGTTTGAACCAAATGCAGTGAAATATGCTCATTTGCACTGCTTTTTAGAGAATATTTACCACATTCACATCTCAATTAAACAATGCACGATTACTTTCCTTTGTAAACCAGTATACTTTCCATTCTGTGTTTTTCCATCATGCCTCTACTGTCTGTCGGCGCTCGCTGAACTTTAGAATCTTTGTACCACAATGGAACTCCTTCCCTCGTCACACTAATGCTTATTACATCATAACCATCATAACCAATAGGACAAGAGCGATCTGCGTGTTTTTCTCTGTCCTCCGTCAACAAACCACGATTGACTGGTGTTCAACCTTTTTTATATTTTTACTAAACCATGTCTTCTTGATTTTGTCCACTGGCTACCTCCTTTCACAATATTTTGCATAATAAAACATTCATATTGACTGTATGTGTCTCTGGTAATCACTATAAAAATGTATTTCAAAATTCTGCTTGAACTAAATAAAAATATGGGTATTGTCAAGAAAACTTTGGTCTGTTTTATATGAATGGTTTACATATCAGAAAATGGAAGAATAAAAAAAGTTATGGAGAGGAGAGGAGCAGGCCGAGGAGTGGACTGGAACATTAAAGGCTACTGTGATTTCTCCTGACAAATATCATGGAAATAATGGGAAGTTTTAATTAAGATATTAACTTTTATGGGATTGAAGTGTGAAAATGAAGAACAGGCAACTTATAATAAAACTGTAAAAACTAAAGTCGCTTGCTGTGGTTGGTCAATTATCACTAAACACAACTGTAAGTATTTATGTAAGTATAATCCCAGGTGGCTTTTTGTTCACCCAGACATAATGAACAGTCAAATTACAATGAAAAACTTTAAAAAATCCAACATCCTCTGCGTGTCACAGAAAGTCTGAATGGCTTCCTCTGTGTCAGGGGAGTGTGATACTGTGCAGAGGGGAAGGAAAAAGAGGAGATATGGCTTCTTTTGTGAATGGAGACTTTTTTTTGTGTGTGTAGTTTTTCATGAGACAATAGCTTCTCCCTGCTGCGCCTGCTCTCCTGCTCCTCTCTCTGGTTCAGTATCAGACTGTGAGCAAAAACACACGGCACATCCTGCTCCTCCTACCACAGAGGCACGAGCGGGCACTTTCCAAGCCGAGCTCACACATTATTTGAGAGCTGAGCCTTTTTTTTATGGTAGATTTATTGTTCGCAAACTATTATGGACAGATTTGGCATGAAATATGAGTATATACATTACCCGCTATACAAAGGAGCACGGGAGGCAGATTGTCTTAAGTCTCACGCGTTACTTCACACAAACAGAAACATGTGGACAACAACACAGATGCTGGGATTTAAAGAGAAAAAAATACCTATAAAAACAACATAAACAATCACTCAGCACAGACCTTCACTGAGACAAAAGTTTTACCTTTCAAAGTCAGATTCAAATAGTAGTGGTATTTTGATTCATTGAGAAAAAAAACACACTTGTATTTTTTGTGACATGCCTGAAGCTACTGATGAGAAATTTGAATAAAAAAATATAGAATTCAAACATAGTTGTGGTCTAAAAGGTTAAGCCCGGTAAAAAAAGAAATGAATATTGCATTGTTTTCAATCACAATCACAAGCAGCCCGTGTGGACCCATGAAACACTGCCTGGTAAAGGTGTGTGCGAGATTTCTCCATGTCTTATGTTAGAAACTGTTTATATCTGCACTTCAGACCGAGAGACATGGTACTGTGCAAAAGACGCATCAAAGTACTCAAATCAACACATTCAATTAGTGATTATGTATTGTTTTGTGTTGTCAATAATGCATACTCTTCTCCTGTGTAATGTTGCTTCTATTACAAAGGAGAATTGCGCATACCTAGATAAGCCTAAATTCCAAATAAAATAATTTGACCCAGAATCAGCCAAAAAAAATGCATCAATCCATCTTTATTAAGTCATTTTCACATTGAATTTTGCACAGTACTGTAAGTACATGTCAAAAAGTACTAATTAAATTATTCATACATAAAAAAAGCAAAGCAATGCATTCCTTTGTTTTAAGGCGTTTCAGATATAATACATACATCACAGTGTAAATATGGCTTTATATGATTCACATTCACTCACTGAGGTTGGCAAAGGCAAGATAGTGGTCAAACATTTCCAAGATTTAAAAAAGAAAAAAAAAATCTGTAATGGTCACAATTTTCTTTGGAACACGCATTTTAAAATAAACAAAATTACCCCGCAATTATTAAGTGCTTTTGTTCATGGGGACGACTTGTCTACCAATACAGGCATTTTTCATCGTTCGGTATTTGCAGATGAGAGAGTTTTGTATTTGACGTTAGAAAGTGGCTGGAAGGGTAGAGTGACAGGCATAAAATGGGGACATGAGGCCGAAAAGCTGCACGGATTGTTCTGAAGAAAGTGATACTTCACAGGGATTATTGGAACACAACAGCTGGGACATCCCGTGTGCAGGCGGCGTGTGGACTTGGAGCCCTGTGTGTGTTCCTATCGCTGACAGATTAGCAGCCCTCTGTTAAGTAGGGGGAAGCCCTACACCAATCACCCATAATATTATGACCACCAGCCCGATATCCCACCTGATATGTCGTAATTGACTCTCTCGCCAGCACTTTTGAAAAACACTGAGCAATGTGTAGTCGGAAAAAGGCCAATAAAGCATCCAAAAGACCAGGCTTAGTATAGAACCTTGCTAATTTACTTCAAATGTTGTCCTGCCCTAAGTCTATTCACACTCTAAGAAATAGTGTTGGATTTAATGGATAAAGTTATGTAACGTAAAGCAATCTTTTCAACGTAACCAACAATTTATGTAATGAAGTCAATGAATTAAAACTATATAGTTACTCATTACTTAATCATTAAATCTTTAACTTTACTTTATAGTTAAATCCAACACGTTATGTTAACATGTTAAGTTATGTGGGAAAAGTTGCTTATTGTTAACTTGACAATTCCTCTGTAAATATCATCATTGTCGACCAAAAAATATAGTCTAACAGTTGAACATGGAAAATATCTCAATATTTGGTGTTTGTTTTGATTTTGAAGGCAGGATGTTTTCTTGAGTTTTTCCACGTTTTCTTGTGCTATGGTCGTTTTGCATGAAGCTTTTGAAGTTTTGGAAACCTGTGTCATGCCCCCTTTTTATTTGACTACTTGAACAGCCAGACATTTTTTAGTCAACGCTATTTTTATCTAATTCCAAATCAACTTCATAAATACAATAACACGTGTATGTGTATCATTCTTTCTGCCTGAAGGCTGTATTGTAGTAGAGTTAAAGCTCACAGAAGTCACCAGGCGAGTCAGGTCAAACCAGCGGTCAGGCATAGTTCAACACAGAATTTGACACATAACACTGATTAACCAATAAACTGCTTCTGTTTCGTAGGCACTGAGTTTCCTGGATCCTAATGCTGGTATTAACAATGACAGGGGCAACACCCAAGCATGCTCCGCACTGCAGCGTACGAGGGTCTGCTGTCATCATGCTCGAGGATCGTATTCATCTGTTGGACGTGGACAATAATGCCACAGTTATTAGGTCACCACTCTGATTGCCACATCTCTAACTTCTAATGGGGCAGTGATTGTACAACCAAAAACTAAAGGAACATGTAGCTTAGGGAAGATTAAAACAAAATGTGGAGGTCGATTAAACTGCAAAAAGACACACAACAAAGTATAAGAGAGTGGCAAAATGAGAGAAGAATTGAATACTGATGTTTTGTTTATCATTTTATATCAAAAGACCAAACAAAGGCTACATGTAAGAGTAGTACCCAAATTTAGAAATATAAAATATATAACAACATATTATCTTTGTAGGTCTTGATATTTGGTGAGGGTTATATTCTGGACAAGAGATGCTGATGTGCTTAAGTATTTGCATAGGATAAATAACAAATCTATTGTAAATGTACACATCTTAGTGCTCTGCATACGTGTCTTTGATCTTTGGATTATATCAATGTACAAAAATAAATAGGACAACTTTAATTTGGTTTTTAACCTGTTGCTTTGGCTCAATTGCTGGAATAGTGGTTTTTAAAGCACATTGTACATAAACATGAAAATTGTTCTTTGGTCATAGAAAAGCACAGTGCCTAAGTAAAACTGAGTTACATTAGATACACATAAAGGCACCTTTGGTGAGGTGTGCATGAGGCCGACCGGCCAGAGTCTGAGGTGTCGAAGATACTGAGGTGAACAGTGTCACAATACTGCTGTGTATGAAGACTTACTCATGTAGAAGTCTATGAGCTCTTAAGGGGAGTAGCGGTCGATGGTGCGATTGTCAGAGATAGTCTGGGGGGGTAGGGAGAGGGGATGTCCCAGGGCCTCCAGCTTGTCGAGGGGGAGCCCCAGGTGTTCTGAGGCCAGTTTGGACAGAGGGTACAGGCCCTCTAAGGCTTTGGTATCGGCCACTAGCTGCTGCTGCGCTTGTAGAAAAAGCTCGCTGGCTTTCTCCTGCTTCAGCCCGAGGTGCTCGGCTGTGTATTTAGTCAGAGGGTAAATGCCCTCTGGAAAGTCAATCTTAAGTTTGCCATCCACAGTGAGCCCCCCTGCTGTCCCCCCACTACTGTGCATCTTCATGTGGCTGATAAGGTTGCGCTGTTGGGCAAACTTTCCCCCACAGACCTGGCATTCATAGGGCTTTTCCCCAGAGTGGATCCTCATGTGCTCGGTGAGCCTGTACTGCCTGGTGAACCTCATGCCACAGGAGTCACAAGCAAAGGGCTTCAGGCCCAGGTGGCTGCGCATGTGGCGAGTCATGGTGCCACGCTGAGTGAACTTTTTGCCACAAATGCTGCAAGGGTAGGGCCTTGTTAGCCAGTGGGTCTTCTCATGTTGTCTTAAAGTGGCAGGATCTTTGTAGGACTTTTCGCATGAGGAGCAGCGATAGGGTCGGATCATGTCGCCAATGCTCCCCGCTCCTAAGCCTTGACTAGACTTTGTTTCCAGGTGGGACAAACTGTTCAAACTGCTGCTATTAAGACTTGCATATCCGTTGATATTACTGCTATTGTTTTTGGTGCAGCCGTTATTGCCGTTCCCCATCTCTCCACCTGAGTTGCCATACAGCTCTTCCTCTGTGTGTGTCTCTACATGTGCGTTGAGCTGCTCTGAGCTCGGAAAGCCTTTATCACAGGGAATGCAAACATACAGATTGTCTCCAAAGCTCTCAGGCTCATAAGACATGTGGAACCTGCCTATAGGTCCAGTTGGGGAGGGGCGGCCTTCACTGCTGCCTGTTTCCTCTGTCCCAGAGCCACTCTTGTCTTCTGCTCCTTCACTTTCCTCTCCCACTTTGTGATGATTGTGATGCTGCTCTCCATTTTCACCTCCTTCATCATCATCGTCATCATCTTCATCTTCACCTGGATATGAAACAGGCTCATGTTTGACCCAGCGGTAAATGTTACCCATCTCTCTGCCCGTCAAAGCCCCCTCTGTTGGAGTTCCAGGGCTGGATGAACATGGAAATCGTTCATTGCTCTGTGAAGTGGAGCGGGACAGGTGGGGACCCAGAGGCTGGTTTAGATGGGGGAAAGGAGGGGGAGAGAGAGAACCTGTCTGCTCACTGGACTCTAGTTTATCTGAAGGAAAGGCTTGCCCATTAATGCTGTGCATGGGACTGGTGTGGCCACTCAGAGTGCCCACTCGCTCCTCCTCATTTTGATTGCTGGACATGTGGGACTGAATAGGCGTGTGCTGAGACTGTGAATTAGGGCTTTTCTTGGTGAGATCAAGGCCGAACATTGGGGAGCAGTTTGTGTCTGGGTGGGCTGAGCGCAGGCCCAGCTGTGCCGGCAGGCCACTTGGAGGGGAGGGAAACACCTGAGAGGCCTGTGTTGAAGTTGGGGCGTACAGTTCTCCTGTGTGGATGCCCAGGCGATGGGGAATGAGCTCATCTATTGGTTGTGCCCGAGGGGCAAGGCTGTTTAAAATTCCTCCTGGTGGACATGACTGAATAACAGGAGTAGAAATTCTGTACCGGCCACTTCCTAGCCCCATATTAGGCCCCATCTTAGGATAGGGCAGAAAGGCATGACTCGGACGGGGCAGGTACTTGCCATTCCTTTTGAGCTTCTTTTTACACAAGGCAACTAAGTCGAGCAGCTGGAGATAGCTCGCTGCGGCAAGCACTGCCCCTAGACTGGGTTCAGAGGGAGAGGAGGAGTCCCCTTCACTAAGACGGCCAGTGTATATGTAGTCCAGAATGACCCTGAAGACCCCTGGACTAACCATCTCATGGTCGAGATTGATTAGATTGTCATGCACCACTAATGACTTCAAGTAGTGGCTGCTGGCAGCCAAAATGTTCTTGTGAGCTCGGAAGAGCGCGTTCTGAACCACAATGATGACATCGCACAGAAAGCCCTTGGTGCGTTGGCTGTTGAGCTGCAGCAGAAGATCCCTCGCATGACTTGGAACTTCCATGGCATCCAGCATCGACTTCAGTCCAGCACCTGTAACAATAGAAATGTGTCAGTGTCACAAAGGCCAGCATCACAGCGCACAGGAATGCAGCGAGGAATTCACCAAAGACAGCCTTTCTTGGGTGTTTAGGAAAATAAAAACACATTATGATTGTCTATAGATTTTGGAAATATAAACACGTGCATCAGTTCATAGTAGTTCTTCCTCAGAGACTGAATCAAGAATTTCTACTGTGGAAGCCACACTGTAATGTGAACTTTTATGAAAGGTGAGGGGATGCAATGGTTTTCTCATTATCAGACGTTTTTTTAGCATCAACTTCCTCTGCAAAAAGAATTGAATGAGGAAAAAAACGATGTGTTTGGTGTTTTAATACTGCTGATGCTTACTGTGTTTTATTGTTATGTTGTAAAAGAACTCCAGAAGCCCTTTTTGCAAAAAACAAAGAGATGTTGCGCACATATCTTTACACACGCAACACCAGGGCAAAAATATCACACTGCATTTGTCCATACACTACCATCTGATATACATTCAACACTCTGAATGATTTGCCATTGTTAAAAGGAAGCGAGCAACTAAACAAAGATTATGTTCAGCTGTCTCATCAGGCCTTCCTGACATCAGTCTATCCACTTCTTGTTTACTTCATTCAAAGACTCAAAGATTTGCACACAAAGAATCAATCTACAAGAGAGTGGAGATAAAGAAATACTGTTGTTTGTATCCTTAAAATCGAATTGTATTACTGTATTGCATTCAGCCAAAAATATAGTTACGGCAATCAAATGCTCTTCTGATTTACAGCATGAGAAATAGACAAACAGGCGGCTGCGATCAGATGACTTCACGCTTTATCTCGTCACTTTACCTGCACGCATGGTGCAGGTAAAGTGTTAAAGGTTCAGTTGTGTGTCTGCATGTGATTCTGGCTGTAACATATGCTGCAGTAAACATTATTGTTAGTGAGTGGCTTGGAGAGGTCATGCACTCCCAGAGTCATCCGCTGCTTTATGATGTTTAGTCTGATTAACAGTCACAGTTCACCGCTTGGAAATAGTTGCATCGCCTCACAGAAAAAACACATTTGTGATTCTTGATTTTTGTAATAAACCTACTAATTAAATCATTGCACTGAAACTGAGAGCATTTAAGAGGGACTGGTGATAAGTTCTGATCTTATCAATACTGATTTGACTGATTTGAATCTGACACTTAAATATGTGACCTTGATTTAAGATACTACAAAATGTCACCACATGTGATATGCCTTCATTACCAGAATGTTTATCTGCAGGCCATCCGCTAAGGCAGAAGATTTGCTAAGTTGTGATCATAATTTTACTTCCTTTACAGGATATTTTTATATCAAAGCAGTACATACATGAATTATGCTTTTAATATGGCATCTAGAAAGAGCTGTGAGGTTAACACGTAATGCAAGCTTCTATAAAGTTCAAGAAATAAACTTGAGCTTTGAATGTTCAAATACAGATGTTTTACTTTGTATTGTAATGTGCATTAATATAGCCAGTATTTCTATATATATTATAACAACAAATTCTGGTCAAAGTCCCGTTAACGGAGCACGACTATTCTCCTTCTCAATTACACCAGGCCCATTTGGAATGTTCTGATTCTCAATAAATAACAAATATATTAGGATTATTATAAAGACTCAAGTTTTACATTTTTAATTGCGTTTCCAACCATTTTGCATTGAAGAGCGTGATTTACACTTTGATTTAATGAAAGCCCTTTTGCGTACATTAAACCACGTAAAATTGCTCTCAATTTCAAAACATACATTTTAGTTTTATTCATTTAACATTTATTTTGTGTCTGTTTTTTTTTTTTTACAAGTGCATTTTACACGTACAGCTTCAACTTCATGCGCCTCAGAAACGCACAAAGTAAAGCAGCCTACACCCAGGACGAGAGCGTTACGGACAATACGCCTGTCTTTAATCTCTTTTATTCTGCACATATTGTAGCAGTAAAAAGTTCACGAGTGTCTCCATTTTTTCCTCAAGCTCCCCTTATCTCTGCCGGAGAGAGAGGTCCTAAATCACATCCAGAAATAGCGTTAAAACAAGGTGTATCCCACAGATGGTTCCAATACTGGGCTGTCAGCATGCACCACGACCGTCGACTTTAATTACGTTTTGTGACGGCCCTGAGGCAATAAGCAACACGCATTTACAAGCAATACAAAACACTTGCAACGCGTAAAAGTCGTTAGTCAATGCAATCAGAGTTATATTTAAAAATGTAAAACTAATATTTCAAATTGTAATGTTTGAAGCTTCTGTGTGTGTCTTTTATTATTGTTCTTATCAATAAAAAAGTGTGTTTGGGTTTAATTACAAATGCCGATTTTTGTAAGTCAGAAAAGGTCATGTTAATAGAGCCTATACAATTATGTTTTAAATATTTCAATCCATGAATTCACAAACAACACGCACATGGCTTCTGTATAACTTTTAAATAATGACACTGATAAGACCCAGCTCGAGTCAGAAGCACCAGTGTGATTTTGGGTTAGAAAATGTGTGAAAGTGAAGTGAGTCTATACAGCGGAGCAGGTTGCAGTGCGTCTCGGTGAGTCGTGCGTAAAAGCCAGGGGAGCTTCTTACCTGCATGCCCGGTGTCCTGTGCCATACGCTCCAAGTCTCCCTTAATGATCATCTCAGCACTCTCCAGAACTCATATCTGACGTTTGAGCTTGAATTGCCAGCCTCCAAAAACCATGCCAGTTTTCCGAGCGCGTCTGCCAGCGCCTTTTTTTTTCCTCCTCTTTATTATTAATTGATATGAATTTCTTGTCGCTCTTTCGGCCCGTCCTCCCACCCACCTCTCCCCGTGTCACTGCCCCTCCTCTCCACTCTTCCTCATCCACTCCTATAAAAATACGTTTGACCAGCATCAGTTTCCTCTAACATTTTTTTTTTTCCCTCTCAAGTAAATTCTCTCTTGCTATTTTTTGAGTGGAAGCTAAAACGCGCACCGGGATGATAATGGTGCCTTTATGCGCCCTAAGTGTTTTAGAGCTCCGTGTGATGTCAGTCCATAATAAAACTAAAAGGTAAAATCGAGGGCAGGAACTTTATGTGACCCCGACTCGAACTTCTCAACACATCGCCTTAAAGAGACAGGCACATATTGAATGCATATGTTCAAGATGGGCTTGCTTGAGCTCATTCAATCACTCTGCAATCGCTCACAGTATTACGCGGGCTATAGGCTGTGTAATGTATTTATTTGTGTAGCCTACCCCGTTTATTTAACATCTCAGTCGGTTTGCCTTTCGAATTGTCACTCAGCTTAATTAGTTATATTAATTGCAGCTCACAAACTATAAGGCGCACCTGCCTCCAACGTGAAGCTAATGTGTATGAAAACATTTATCTTTCCCACGTCTATCCAAAAACACATGACATCCCTTTTGTTGCATGATATTCACAATAGCATTATAACTGCTGTACAAATACACAGACCACTGCTTCCTACAACGCGTAAATTTGGCGAGTATTTATTATTTGAATGGATATAACGTTGACTTTCGTTATACTCCAAAAGACAGCTGAAGTTTTGAGGTTTGGACTCACTCTTTTACCTTGGATTCATGTCTGGTGATCTGGCCGTATCTCTGCGCTCCTTGTCGACATTCCCCCTGTTCAAAGTTCCGCAGTCTCCTCCTTGATTCTCTCGCTTCTTATAAGAATATTCTTCAGAGTAATCTCCCCTTGCTGCCTGGGACTTTAGCTCCAGAACAGGTTGCTTCTTCTTTTGCCCTTTCGCTCATATTCTGGGGGCTCAACTCACGTGTTGGCGACAACCTGACACTTCGGTTTGTTGTAGTCCTCTTCGCGCAGAATTACGCGCGCAGCGACACCCACAGGCGAGTCCCATTGTGTTTAGTTTAGTGGGGAAAAAAGACGATATTTACTTTACATTTGAGTCCTACTATGGTCCCGTCCCACTATGGTCTCACTGACCTACTGCTGCCCTCAACCAAGGCAGAAACTTGGGGCACTGCTTTGTTATTAACAATATATTTCATTACATGTGTATTTGGTTGTAATTGACTGTTGTTGGTATAGAAGAAACAAATGACTGAATCTACTAATAAGACAAAATAGACTTGCTAAACTACAAGTTTAGAAAAAGATTGCACTGATAAAGTATTGACTTAATACTTCATACTTAAAGAAAGAATGCTTGTCCATCTTTATGTAGAAGATTTAAAATTCTTCTTTAAATAGAATCAGACAGGTGACTTAGACTTTAGAGGTTATTGTCCTTTTAGGAGTCTCAAATCTACCAGGGGCTCACAATCCCCTTCCAAAAAGCTCTTCAAAGGATATTGCAATTACAAATAATGTATGTATTAGCACAGACTTTACCTTTGTGCGCACTCACAAATGGTAATAGTGATTGTTTTATTTTATTAAGTCAATATAACTCAGCATTACATTGACTCTACTATTATTATATAAATATAATAATATATAGTATATAATATATATTAATATCATTATATTGACTTTACCTGTACTTTGATTCAATCCCAGTCTAATCCCATTTGGAACAGTGTTCTTTTCATGTCTGCGTAGGTTTTCCCCAGGTGCTACGGTTTCCCTACCACCAAAGACATGTAGGTCAAATCCTCCCGCTCCTGTAGTTCTGACCAAGCCAAGTATCGGAAACTGTACTACGGTGACCACTGCTCCTGACAGAGGCCCTTGTGATGGAAGAATGTGTTAAATTGCAAAAACAATAAGGTATAACTAAACTTAAATGAACTCAACATAAACATAGTTTACCGCTGCTTATAGGCTACATACTGTACATTCATACCAAAGAACTCATGACAAGTGTCCACTAACAACTGCAAACCGAAACAGGCTGCAGACCATTATTTTAACATTAAACTCTGACTAAACCCATTCCTGTTTGTTTTTGTCCCATCTGCAGCTGCCAGCGCTCATGGCTGTTGTTCTGGAGGAGCTGAAGCTGTCTGGGGACACCTTGAAGACCCCAGAGGAAGCTATTGTCTGACTTCCATGTTCCCTGATGAACCACAGATAACCCCAGACTGAGGTGTGCCACAGCATACAGAGGCTGTATCAAGGATGTCTCTCAATTCATGCTCCAAATATAGTCCTTTCCATTCAGGAAGAGACACGGTGATATCATTAGTGCGTTGCCAGGTGCTGTATGATGAGTTTTAAATTTACTGTGTTTTAGGTGCCAATTTTATAGGCATTTTTAGGTTAGAGTGAGGAACAATGTCCTTCACGTCCATGCAGTTGTTTTTAGCATCAGTTCTAATGCCAAGGTTAGCAGGAATATGTCAATTATATTATTACGCATTATTATTAGTAGTAGTAGTAGACCAAAAGGGTTTGTGTAAGCTCTCAGTCATACAGGGATTATTCAAAACAAAGGAAGGTTGCTTACCCATCATCTGTACTTCAGTTAGCAGGTTTTCCAATGTTATAGTAGACCTAAAGTAAATAGGTTTAAGTGCATTTTGCAGATGACTTGGAGAAATTGGAGGCAAGGGTGAGCATTACACAATTATCATTACAAAAGGCCACCATTGGAACTTGCAGGGCTGCGACAAAGACAGTTTATTGAATGGGTATGGAATAAACACAGGGACTTGGATCTTAATTTTTACTCTATAGAAGAAAGAAACGGTTGAAATGTTTGCAGTTCGTACCGAGGTTGCTTTATGTTTTTATTTTGTCATTGTGATTGCCTCTTTGCCAGATGGCTTTATCTCAGAAATCAATCCGTCCTCCGAGGCTGGACATTAAACCTCAGCTTGTCCAAACACAATCTAACATACCAAAATCTGGAGCTCACTAAACCTGAAACGCTGAACTTCTAATGAACTGAGAAAACCTCCAAATTGCTGGTTGTAAGCAATGATTCAATTAAAGCTGCCTGCTGCGGGCCCACAAACATGAGCCATAGAGCCCATCCCAATTTCATTCGCCTAAACCCTCCACCTTCTTTCTGCTTGTAAATTGTAAAATGCAAAATCTGGCTCAAATACACAGTCTATGCAAACCTGCCTTTGTTGTATTTTTACTCCTGTATTTTATATTGATATTTTTAAGTGTGCTTGAACAACACCACCGTATAATCTGGCGCCTTCATTCACTCAAACTCTGGTCCATGGTGCCATCAATCTGCAGGCTCCTCTGTCTTGTGTCTCTTAGAATGGATTTGGCCACGTCTGTCCAGATGCTGTGGCCGCTCGTCACACCAGACACAACCCCGCCAGCGTCAGACCGTCATTGTCACCAAAGATTGAACAGTAGGCTCAACATTTACACACACACTCTGCGCCTGATTCATTGTAATGAGCAGCTTTACAGACAGCTTTAGAACACAGGCCTCCACGTCTTTTCTCAGATTCAAAAAGCTGATGTGTGCTTTAGTGCTTGGATTGCCTTTCTGGATGAGTTTTTAAAATATATTTTCCGAGCCCATATTTCTTGCCACAGAATCACATAAAGATAATGATAATAATGCATTTGTTTTTATTCTGCTTTTTTAGACACTCAAATAGACTGTACATGTAATTATTGATTCCCTTTTTGTGTTAAGCTATAGGACCATATTCAGGCTGCCAATCTGCACCATAGGCCTCTCTGTTCACTCACACTCTAGACGTATATAGTTGACAATGGGCCATTTATTAACTGAAACATTTAATTTCAAAGGCTGCCTTAGAATATCGATGTCAAAGAATTAGTTTAGAACAAGAGTCTCAGATATTTATTGATTGAGGAACTAGTTTCACTGTAGCAATGGCGGAGTGTGTTATCATAAAATGTAATCGTTGCTTTAGATACTAGGCTTAAACCAATAAGAGGACATTTAATGACTGAATCATAACAAGATACATACAGACATAACAGAAAATATCATACCCCAAGGAGAGATGGTTGGAGAGAGAGAAAGAGAACCCTGGAGGCTCTGAGCTTCAGTATTAGGCTGCTACATGTTGCAGAGAGTTGACACCGACCAAGAGCCCAAACTAGTCCATTCCAGCTATCTATATACTGGCTGTGAGGTTACTCTCAGGTTCCACTGGATTGGACCTGGACATCAGATCAGGGGGAAAATCCATACCAACAGAGAGCTTTTGTGGTTATAATAAAAAATGCCTATAGTGGGGCACCCAACGATTGTGCAAGCAGCAAGTCCTCCCACTCAACTGCAAATCAATTCTTTAAAAACCACACAATGTGATTTGTTGTCTCTCTCAGTTGAGGGATACCTATGAAGAAAATTACAAGAATCTCGTTTCTTTTTGAGTGCATGGACTTGCACAATTGGTGGCTGACTAAATGTTTTTGCCCCATTGTACATAACTTTTATTACAAATATGTGACGATTTCAACTGTACAAGCCTACATTTGTGGACATATAGGAAACATTTATTGTGAAAATAGATACTAAATTATTTTAAATTGACTTAAATCAACATTATTTGTAAACTTTCTACCTGAAAAGGGTAGAAAGTGGCTCCTGAGCAATATAACACTAAAATGTAAGTTAACCCTCTGGGGTCTAGAGCATCGGATCTGTCGCCTGCGCACATGTTTTATAAATGTTCAATTTTCTCATGAACGGCAAAACGTAGCGACTTACTTTTTTTTTCTCCG